TCATGCTCAGTTTGGAGGAAGTAAGTCTAGTGGGTTTTTTGAGGCACTTCAAAGCTGCAAAACTTAATTCAAAATACAATGTGAATTCCATATGCTTTTACAGCTATACAAAAGGAGTGCAAAAAGATACCTTTTTTAATACAGTAATGTTTTACAACCACTTTGCAGGACAACAAAGAAAAAAGTTATAAAAAGCAGCTCAGAATTGTGCAGTTCAGCTGTGTTCATGAGTATGAGACTCCCATTGTTGACAAATTAGAGTTTCTTTACTTGACGCGGCACAGTATGAGGTCAAGAAATATTAATAAAATGCTCTCTTAACTGCTTATTTCTGCTTTTTTTTTATATAAACTTCTTGTGGCCTGGCAGAGCATTTGAGGTTAACTGCTAGTTAACCAGTGGGGGTATGAGGTAAAGCACCTTTAAGCTTTTGCTAACATGGTGTTTGGTGGTGATTCAGAGAGGGTAAGTTAACTGATTATAATTAGCTTTCTCTACTATGGTAAAATGAGTTGCATAGAGAACACACTGAAAGCCAAGGGCCTCTAAATACTTTTCCCTTTTATGGAATAGAGCTCCCAGATCACCATTTCCTGGAGATTGTACTCTAAGCCTACACAGTGGTAAAAGAAAATTCTCTGTATTCACTGGTCTATATCTGACTATGTATTTGAGCTCATGGGATCATTTTTTTCCTAACTATTTTAAGCAGTAAGTTCACAATAACAGAGCAAAACATTAAGAAGCACTTCATCCTCTTTTCTTTCTTTTTTTTACTTTTTTTTCATTACATTGTCTCATCTCGGTGTCGGAATACACAGAATTTGGTGAATAGGATAAGTAATATGTTGTTTGGGGGGTTTTATCTCATTTTGTAGGTACATAAGGCTCGTGCAGACTAAGGTTGTAGGTCTTTACCCACATCCACTTTTCTTGTGACATGTGAGTTAGTCTCTACAAGTATTTAATTTTAAAAGGTAATTTTGAAGCTCTTGCAATTTCTAAAAGACGAGAATTTTTGTGAGGGGAACGTTTAAGCTGATAAATCACTACAACAATAACATAACATCCTTTGGTAGGTTAAAAGTAGGCCAGGCAGTGTTTGATCAATGCCTAATGAAAGAAATAACAGTATCTTGAAATTGTTTTAGTGACTAGATGCTAGCATGTGCTTATACATCTTGACTGTTTTTAAAGTGCAGATGTACTTTTTTTGCTTATCCTTTCAGTATCTTCAGGAACAGTAATTACAGTTGTTTCAGTTGGTTTCTCACTGTATTACATATATTGTTAACGTATCATTTCCTTCTTTGGCTGAAACATGTTTATGCTTGTGGAAGGGAGATAAAGCTGGCAAAGCTAATGGTAGTATGAGTCCAAAGGTTGTTCAGCTGGCAGATGAACCAGGCTTAGAACCAGGATAGTCATGCTCTTTGCACTTTAGTTCAGGGTTCAGTAAGGCTGTAAGCTGCATTTGTAGATAGAGGTGTGAATTTCTGTAGGCTCAAGGGCTGTAGTCCTCCCTAATGCTCTACTGAAGAAGTAAAAAATGCACCTTCCAGGAAATAAACTTTCTAAGGACATTTCTTTCTTTTCTTCCCACATTTGTGAGATGCAGATAAGCTCCTCTAATTCTTGTTAGAGTGTTCTCATGAAGCCCCCTTATGTTTTGACTCTCACTGACATTTACTGGGGCTATTTTCATTGCCCAATCAGACAGACATAAGGTCACTTCAGCAGTGATGGATGATCATTTATTCGCTAGTATCTTAAGAATCTATCGTTTCTAAACATTCACCTTTCCTACTAGTATCAGAAGGCAGTAATTGATTTGGAAAATAGCAAAACTCCTTGCATGGAAAATGCACAGCATGGCACAAGAAGGTGGCTTTGTTGAATATCTCCACTTGTATTTCCAAATGTGATGTTTGTGCTGGTTAAGCAGCAGAAAGTCTTTAAGGGACCTGGACTACTGATTTTAAGAACAGTGCACAGTTTAAAAATAAGCTTTTAGATTGAAGAATAATAATTCAGGAGTTATAAATCATATAGCTTATGAATAGAGCAATGCCCTTTTATATTGTGTTGAGATACCAGTAAGTACTAACCCTTGCTTTGGCACCATAGAGGACTGCAGCAGTGCAGTCAGCATGTGCAAAGACAGAATGTGTTTTAAGAAGCCTCAGAATATGAATAACTGTATGCGGCCTTTTCGCTGCTCCAGTAGAGTCCTCAGCACTGGGGTTATCTGGAGAGATGTTAGGGAAAAATGGAAAGTCAGAAGAAATTTTCCTACTGATCAGCACCACAAAGCTCCACTAGGAGCTTTTTCCTAGTTGCAAGATAGCTCTGTAAGGAAATCAGAGAAAGGTTCTAATTGTGTCACAGATGGACTGAACTCCATCCACTCCAAATCTGGGGCTTGTTAAGGTGGCGTAAATTCATCTTTCTACCCTCCGTTCTCCCTTGGCTGTACTTTCTGTGCTGCATCTCTAAGACAACATAGCTTGGGTTTTGTCCCTTTCTATTCTTAGACAAGACTGCTGATTATTTTCTTTTTCTTTTAAAGTTTTTTTGGTTTGCTTTTGAAATGTGAAAAATGACCTGAAACATGATGGGCTTAATAGCTCTTTCTTGTTTCTTTTTTTTTTGTTTCTTTTTTTTTTTGTCCTAAGTTTAGTATGTACTAGGAACTCAGCAAAGACTAGGAATAAACTACCTTGATGCAATAGCTTATACAGCTCCACACAGGACTGCATACACTTGTTGGTCATGACTTGAAATAATCCTGATTTTTCAGGCCCAGCATTCGTTAAGATTGTCAGAACCCTTATAATTTCATAAGGCAAACACTAAGAGGGATTAGATGAACAGCCAAATTTCTATCTTCCCTTTTTTGTTTTTGTTTTAATTTAAGTTCTTGCAAACTCAAAAAGCATGTAGAATGCCACAATTTTGTTACAGAGATGAAAATCAAGTCCATATAACTCCTTTTAGCTACCTTGCTTCTATCTCATCTTCATGTGTTGTTAATAGTTGGTGATTGTTGTTTGATACAAAAGTACTTAACTGTGGAAACACATAGATGTTTAATGCTACTGCTATCTGCCTCATCTCCATGGGTTTATTAAAATACAGGTAATGTCTGTTTTCCATCATATTAGGGCCTTTAAAGATATTTCACCTTAAAAACATTTTAAAATCTTTTTATTTATATAAAGCTTCCTGTACTCTTATTATTGAGGTGGGTAAAATCATGATACAAACATGATCTTCCACTTACTGCAGTAGAGCTAGAAATTCATCTGTAACTGGTTCAAAATGTCTACAAAAGCTTGAAACACGCTGTCCCTACAGCATATACTGCTCTGAAAAAGATTATGCTCACTGTTTAAGACTAAGTATATGTTCTGATCTTCAGAATGATGTCTTATATGCTAGATCTTTTCCACAGTCTGTATCAAAGAACTTCAATTAAACAATTTTTTTCCTGAACACACTAATACTTGTGTAGAGATTATTTTTACAGTCAAATAGTTCTACATTGAATTTCATGTGAGGTGGCCCTGTATTCCTCTTCTAGTAAAAGGGAAAATTCAGTTTCTAATATAATGTGAAATAAATCTAATAAAAGCATGGGTCTTTGCTGCTTCTGTAGTCCAAAGTTTTCATGAATTCTGCAGGTTTTACACCACCCAGTTTTTTGTGTGAAAGCTGAGGTGAAGAACTTGTCACTACTGAGGCTGTTTTAGTATTTCCTGTGAATGGGTTTTTTTCTTTTTTGTTGGTGTTGTTTTATTTGTTTTTAAATCAGTATAAGTATTTTGACAGTTTTGTCAGTTTCAATAAACTGACATGTTCCTGAATACATTCTGATTATATTTCTTTGCCCTTTCCTGAAATCGAAAGGAAAACTCTAGAAGGTTAATGCTGCTGAGTGCCTTGAACATCAAATTGTCTCTTCATCTTAACCTCCTTGTTCCATCTATCTTGATTTCCAGAAAAGTAAAAGAATCAAGATGAGATTAGTAATCCAGATTTGGGAGAAGATAAAATGTTTTGGAAGTTGAACTCTTTGGCATACTATTAAAGTTGTTATGTTATTGTTTGAATGTATAGCTCCATTCTGTACACAGCTGTGAATTAACTGTAAAGGGAATATAGTTAGCTTTTAGTAGTCTAGACAAAAACTGGGCACCAGGTTGTCTCTCTTAACCGCGTTGTCTGTCATCTGTAGGCACTACCGGAGTCGATTATGGGAGCTGTTCCTTAACTAGCCGGTAGGTGTCATAGTAAGTCTTGTAATACATAAAACTGTAGCTATAAGGATTAGTACTTAAAATTTCTCGTCTCAGATTACTGTACAGGCTTTAATGCTAACAATATCCTTGTGAAGGCAGTAGCTCCCATAGAGAATAATAACAAGAATCCTCTCAGATAGTGGGCAGCGATTTTTTTATTATTTTTTTATTTTTTTTATTTGGGCATTACAGCGTTTTTGCCTCTGAAATATCTGGCGCAGCATTGTCTTGTGCAGATGCACACCAAGTCTTTGTACAATTCACTTAGGCCTTGAGCTTGCTTAAAGGAAGAGTGCCACCATCTGGGTTTCCAGTTTTACTCCTTTCTTTGATATCTGAGCTCATGCTCTGTCGCATTAGGACTTTGCTGGTTATTAAAAGGCATCTTACACGTATCTGGGATGCTATTTCCCTCTTAAAGGATTTTTAGAGGTAGTTTGATCACAGGCAAAACAGTCATAGTAGCCAAAAAAAAAGAATAATCTGTAAATAGAGGAAAGAGATGGAAATAGTTTCAAAATGGAAGGTTATCCATTTTGAATGTTGTTACTCAGTTATACTTGACCTTGGAACCTTTAGCTAATAAACCACAAGATAGCATTTTTAATTTTAAACTTCAATACTGTTTGTTATTGTAAGTGATCTCAGTGAATATAGAGTTTTAAACAGATTTTGGTTTTTTTTTGGCATCTCACACAGCCTGCAGATCACGAGGCCTCAGCACTAACGCCTTCAGGCTAACTGGAACCAAATATTCTCAGCAGTGCATTTTCCTGTTAGTCCACCTTGCAGTTCCACGTGCTTCACACTGCCCACCATGCCAACCTTACCTGAAGACAAGGGACAATCAGAAGAGGCACAACACAACATTTCTCCTCCAGCCAAAGTAAGCATTCTTACAAAGGTGTTTTCTGACAGTTCTTGGAAACCTGAGGTTGAAACCTCTGTGTGTATTTAGGAGTGCATAAAATAAAATGTAATCATTGCTATGTATTGCTGTGTTTTGATTAATTGATGAAGCTATGAATGACCTTTCAGTTGATATTCTTAGAAGTCTTCAAATATTTTATAGATTGAGGAATGTGAACTGAAGTTGCTCAAGCATTTGTTTATCAACTTGATCTAGAGACTTATGTGGCTGGCTGTTCTGAACCAGTTATATGTGAAAGCTGTCCAAAAATGTCCACTGTGATGCTATTACAGAAAACTGATGCCTCTGAGAAAAGAACTTATACTTCACAGTAGTCTTGAAACATCTAGTGTTGCCTTTACAGATTTAGAAGATGCTATGCAATTCATGTGTGTATGAAAGATAGGTATCTGCTTTTTGGTTTCTAGTCTTTCTCTGTGCTTTATTTGCCACAGCAGTAGCTGAGCATATACTGGAACTACACAGAGAGCAGGTGGGTGCTCCCCAGATTTTGCTACTAAAATTTGTGGCATTTACATGTTTTTACATGTTTTATTTGCAGGTAAATTTTTAAAAAATCAATAAAACAGTATCATTCTTCATTTTGAATAATTCACACTGCTGCTAAAAAGTAATTTCATGTTCTAATAAAGTGAGATTAGGTGAAATAAAGAATCTTACTGTAATTACAACATCACTGGTTGTACAGATCATCCTGTTTAATGCATACTGGTATAAAGAAAGAAAGGATTTATAATCTGGCACATCCTCAATTCAAAATGTGTGACTGTTACTGAGGACACTATATTCTACATTTTAGGTGAAAACATCCGCTACTTTAACATTGTTGGAAAACATTGTCAGCAGCAAGCCCTACACTGATTTGTCATGCATTCCATCTAAACTGCGCATTGTGCTGAGTATTAGTTTCCTGGCTTCAGATAAACACCCCAGATACATGCAAGTTAATTAGACTATTAGCTGAGAACATATATTAGGTCAAGAAGATTTTAAGATTTTTTTTCCCTTTCCCTCCCTTTTTTTTTAACTCACCCATGTGAAGAGTATTTTAGTAGAAAAGACTTGCTGGGACAGATATACCCAAAGAGAAAAAAATATGAAAGGCTAGCAGACATCAGTGAATCTAAGGCTGAGTGTGCTTGTCAAATGGGAGACATGAAAAATTCCAACCACCTAATCTAATATATATATACACATATAAAAATACATTATGCAAGCCTTTGAGAGATAGGTCTTAAATGAACTATGATAATGTGATAGTTCATGAATCAGTTAACTGTGCAAAATGCTTATTTTTAGATAAATTGGCATTTTTAGGCACAAAGTAACAGTGAAAGGATTTTAACCAACACACTGTTCATGAGCCTACTTAAGGATCACAACTAGTCAATGCTGTGAAGAACTCCATCTCGTTCATACATTTTATCACTCTTGGGTCTTGATGCAGTCCAAGTTGTACAGCATGACTATATAATAAGGAAAATAGCTTATCATTGTGTGATAAGGACTTGCAAGCAAGGAGAGGTCATTACAGGGCACACACAATTGGTGAACTTGTTTTCTGAATTAAACAAAACTTTCCAAGTCTGGAATCTCATCTTATCTAAAGTGGTGTCTGGTGTCTAACAATTTCCTCATTCTATTTCAGGAGATACTTCCCCACCTTTTCCCTGCATGCACAAATGCACACACATTCACAAAACAGTTCTGAGAAAAAGAAAATGAACCTTACATCACATGTAGTTTCTTGTTCAAATATCTTTTACATGATGGGAAGATCTAAAATTAAAATTATTTAAAACCCCATCTCATGTAAAAGACTGCTTTCTGATACATAACTTTTCTGAGGCCTTTCAAATAAGTGCCTGTTTCAGACCAAATTTGTTCTGAAATTCAGTTGGGACCTTTAATTAATTTCTCAGAATTTGGCCAGCTGGCAGAGGGTTTTCTTGTTATTATTATCTTAATTTTTTTTCCTCAGTGCTTTAAAGAACTGAGGTGGTGTTACAGGAAAGCTTTCTCATCTGACTGGCCTGGCAGGGTAGCTCTTTCAGCAGAGATTTATCTTTTTTTCCACTATTACTGTTCAAATCCAGCCAAATTTGGATGGATTATGAAACACCTAAAAATGCATAAATGCATTTCATGTATGCTTAATGAGGGCTTGGCAGAGCTTAATAGCTGGAATGTCTGTAGATCCTATCCACCCTGTGTATCCCTGAGCCTCTTGGATCTTCTATGAGCCATACTGCTTTTGCCATCTTCAGCCCCGCAAAAGCCTCCCTGATAGACTAGATGCCACATGATCATCCTTGTAGAGCATGTCGATCAGTTTACACCTAAGTGATAGAGGTAGAGTCAGTTTTACCCTACATTTTTTTGGAAGCAGGGGATTGGGACAAAAAGGAAGCAAAAACTTGGTAGCAGGCAATCAATGGGAGGGTGATGGAAAACTTCTGTATCATCTTTGTGTAGATGTACAACTCTAAGCTGTGAGACAGCTTAAGCTTCCTGTTAAAGCTTCTCCTCCAAGATCTGCGTATAGTAATCTGAGTACTCTTCAGAGTATAAAGTTGTCTTTTGATTCAAACCAGCTGGCCCTGCAAAGAGCTTCATGCTCTAGCTCTTCCTGCCCCTCTCCTATACAAAATGCATGGTAGGTCTGGACAGTGGGAGGCATGTGTCTTCACCTAGAAGCTGAGCTGCTGTAGCTGTTGACCAAGGTTAATAATGTATTCTACCTGACCTGAACTAGCCTTGGCTACAGCAATTTTCTTGGGGTTTTTTTGTTTGTTTTTTGTTCTTTTTAATAGGCTGGCTTTAGAGTCCTAAAATGGACTTGGGTGGCTTTAAAGCTAATGTTACATCATTCAAAAGCTTTTGCTTGTTGATAGTCATGAGATTAGTATCAACAATATGCGTGTGTACTCAGCTGCTTTGCCCTGCAAGCCGGGCAGTCACCTGAATTTTTGTCATTGACTGTTAGGCAAAATACATTGTTACTTAGTAACATTTTCAATAATATTACTAAAGATTGCTTTCAAACTATTATCATACAATGTCAGCTGTGAACTTGAATCACATATCATGCTTTTACATTCTAACATTTCCAGTATTGCAAGGATATTTTCCTTAAAGTTTAATCTTGTTATTGTTTTCTTGGCATATTTCCGATTGTTCTCTCTTGTGACTGGTAATCTGGACTTGCCAAGGAATGTCATATGAGAATTATGAGCATAGAAGTGTGGAGCTGTCCAAGCAAAGCATATTTTATTGTCTTTGAGAGGAAAAAGGGTTATGTTATATACTTTAATATTATACCACTTTCAAAATGCTTCTCTAGTTCTTCAGTGTTATCAGAAAATTATTTTAACAAGAATAAAATGCAGCACTGGTCGCGATGGTGAAAGGAGTTCTATTGTATCTGATATATATTAGCAGTCACATAATCATTAACTTTCTTTTATGTATGTAATACCATTTCAGTTTCTAGTTTTGGCTACTTGTTCATTATGACAAACCTTATGACTATGCTAAATTCTCCACATGACAGTAGTTGACTGAAATATTCCTTGATAGTTTTTGTTTCAAATAACTGAAATTATTTAATTTTCTCTGTTCTAAAATGTTAACCTCTGAAACTGTGAGCCATTTTATATGCTTCATTCTGTAAATGCCTAAAGTAGTGCTTATAACAGCTTTATTACCTGCCTACTTAATATTACTAAAATAAATGCTCTTCTGAATTCATTACACTTGTGTCAACTTCTAGTAGGTAAACATCCTTAAAAGGAGTAAGCAAAATAGAACAGCAAATGTTCTATCAATAAAAACAAAATTAACAGTTGAAGGTAATTGGCTTTTTGTCATGGATAGCAAACATGCTGTTTTAGAAAATCAGAAGCATCACTTCCTTGAGTAGTTCATGCCCCAGGCCTGTCAGTGTTTAAGAGGCATTTGAACAAAGCCCTTAATACTGTACTTTAACATTTGGTTAGCCCTGAAGGGATCAGGAAGTTTGGACTAGATGATCATGGTGGGTTCTTCCAACTGAAAATGTTCTGTTCTGTAATCTAATCCAATGCCCACTGAAGTAAAAATTTCTTATAAAACTTTGGGATGCTAGTTCAAAAAACCCGGAGATTTAAATAATTAAATAAAATAAAATACTTGTATATACAATTCCGTACCAGGAGCAATTAGTATTGAAGAATTTAGAAGTTATTCTGTAAAGTTTACAAGTTGATTGATGGCAGTCCCCTGGCACTTTTGGGAATCTTTCCCTCCAGCTATAAATGCTCTCAGTACTATGATATGTTCTACTTATCTCATGATTGCACCCTAAAATAAAAATTGCAGCTTATAACAGGTACCTGCCCTCTCTGCATGATTTTATGTGAATCGTTTTTCAACTTCTTGATTAACTGTAAACACCAGATTGCTTCTGTAGCCTTTCAGCAGTGCAGGTTGATTTTTTTTTTTTTTTTTTTGTGAATCTGAATGTAGCACATGCAGTACAAGTAATATTTTTTTACTATGTATTTAAAATTTCTCTTTAACTGCATTTTTGTATTTGTCACAAACCATCCAGGACACTATTGTTGAAGGGACAGTGTGCAGTACACCTTCTATTGTTCTTCCAGAGAATGCTGTAGCACCAGACATGGAAATTGATAAAAATCTGGTTAACAGGTACTGTGTAATACATTACTGAGCTATGCATGACTTGCATGCTAAAATATTCTTTGAAGTGTATATTCTAATAAAACATTATCACTGTATCTCTATTTGTAATTTTATCATATTGTCTTTGCATTTTGATGATTTTTTTTTTTGATGCAGGAAAGGGAGAAGGAGCAGGAATGTTACTGATACTAAAAGACTAGAGTTTCATATAATACGAAGCCTGCCACCCTGACTCAGTATACTTTCAATTTACATGTACTGTCCTGTCTTTCAGAATAGCATAATTTGAAACTAAAGCAAAAATTTAAATTAAAATTTTGTGTAATTTGGACCAAAAGCTGTAACTTTTGAAGTCCATCCTCTTGCTAGCAAATAGAATATAGCCTGATGAGGGGAAAATTGTTTGGTCAAATCCTTTTGTAGAATACAGTGGTGTGCATGTGTGCTACAATACTACACCTACTACAGGGATGACTGACAGTTTGATTCCTCTTGTTCTGTGTGTGGTAATGAGCAATACTGTCCTTCTGTCCATTTGAACCTTTACTTAGATCCAGTCAGTGAGCAACTGGGACCAAAAAAAGTACAACTGAGCATTTTTATGTTTCCTGAAGTATTCCCCACTGTGGAAATTTTTCAGTTCAGTAGCTAAATCCTAATTCTGGTCTACTAATTATGTAGGTACACCAGTAGTGCTGCCTTTACTCATATAAACATTTCCACTGAACCAATAAGATCTTTGTAGACTTATGGAGATTTAGGCAATTAATCATTATAAGACTTAAAAAATCTACTGTTTTTTAAGTACCGAAGATGTTAAGTTCCTCAAGGTGTGGTCAGCCATCAGTGTTGGCTCTCACAAATGAGTGTATTTTACATACAGAGTCTGTGTTTTCTGGTTCCTTCTTGGATTAAGGAACTAGTTGTATTACCATTCTATGACAATATTTTTAGTATCATACTGAAAAATAGACATTGTAGCAATAATATTTGCTATCTGTTGAATTTTTTTTTGTCTATTGAAAGAAAAATGCAGCAACAAACTGCTGTTTGCTTTGTTATTCCTAAAAACAATCTGTTTGCATGATCAACTGAAGTTTGTTTTAATGAAGAAGGAATGATTTTGGCAAAAGATAAGCTTGCAATGTATTACAGTTTGTATAATAAGGCTTATTTTTGAGGGCAGAAAATTTCTAAGGAAGGCTTATGATCGTAAGGTGCAATTTTTACTAACAGTTTTTGCAAGTATTTCATTTTTTATACTTGGCATTTTACAGTTTTATGAACTGCTGAAAATCTTCTTCTTTTGACAGGTTTAGCATATTACATATATCTTTCGGAATAAATTTACCTTCCAGTCAGTCTTGTGGATATTATCTTGGTATTGACTTAGAACACATACTGTTTTATATAACTTAAGGTAATGCTGGTGAAGCTACTGTTATTATATATTATCATAGAACCATAGAATACTTTGGTTTGAAGGGACCTTCAAAGTCCATCCAGTCTAATGCCCCTGCAATGAGCCGGGATATCTTCAACTAGATCAAGTTGACGAGAACTCCATCCAGCCTGGCTTTGAATGTAGACTGCCATTGCTGGTTAACTTTGTTTCATAGGATAATATTCTGAGATATTAGAGTACCATGGTATTATTAGCCAGCATTTTCTAATTTTTTCTTCTAAAGCCAGTTAAGGACCTTGCTCACTTCTTTTAAAGTCCTGAATTAAAAACACTGGAAAATGAATTACTAGACTATTTTTTTTTTCTTCCTACCTAAAAAACAGGTGCAACAACTGTAGGCTTCTTTTCCAGCTCTCTTCTTTCCCTTCCTCCCTTGTATCTGTTCAGTCCTCCTCACTGTTTTAGTGAAGCTGCAAAAAACCTTCTGCAGCACCTGGAAACTGGGATAGGACCACATTCCTGATCGTGTGAAGGAAAACTAGTATCAGCTGAGGATTTAAGAAGATAATGTTTCTGAGCTAGACTGCTAGACAAATGTCTAGCTTGAGTATTATAGTACAGTAATTTTTAAAGCACATATTTGAGCCTGTTCAGGCAGACAGGGCAAGAATACCACCCTGAGATTAAGCATATGTGAAAGTAAGCTGTTGAATGGAAATAATAATTCTGTTTGAAGTTTAAAACTTCAATTAAATTTTGAGTTGCTTTAAGGTTATTTTTAGTCTTCTGATAAAGCATACTTCCTGACTGGCATTCTTGAATTATTGACCTGCAATTAGACTTAAAATATGGGGGAAAATTGATCAGAAAGTATTGATCATAAATCTGTATTATAATTTCCTTTTATTTTTAAAGTGCACTACACAAAATCTCAAGATTATTTAAGAGTGAGAGTTACAATGCAGCCATTTAAAAGCAGCATTATTTTCTGGATCAGCATTTAAATTTCTGCAGTCATTTGAGACCTTCACCTGGTTTTCAATCTAGAAAGTTCCTATATTGCTATATAGGATTGCCAGTGTGGGAGCAAAAGAAATTCTTGCAGTCATAACACTTAGTTTAGGAAGCACTAAAAATTTACAAAGCCTTTTTTTTTTCCAATGTACCATATTTACATGAATTTTAAGTAATAATAATGAACTAAAGAAATGTAGGTTTTTTGAGAAATCAAAATTTTGTAGTGTATGAGTTTATCAGAACTCATTTGTGAAAGCAAGTTCTATAATTTTCCTTCTTTCTGCAATCTTCCTCCATTTTCCAGTTGTTTGGATATGAGAGGAATTACAATAAATTCTTTTAGTTTTAATATTTTTTAATCAAAGAAAAGTGCTTTCTTTTTATAGAGAAGTAGAATGGGTTTTGGTGGCATACTCTCATAATTTTGTTTGTTCATTTTTCTCTCTAGGTCTCGTAGTCCTCATAGGAGACATTCTAACCGTGCCACTAGGAATGCAACAAGTTCATTGACTTCTGTTGGTAAGAAGTAATTCATTTAAGCTAGGATGTTTTCTCAGAAAACGTGATGTGCAAAAAAAGGCCTAAATATAGAGTCTGACTGTATTGGCTACAGCCTTTTTCCTGTGCATACTGACTGTAATGCATACACAGGGAGGGAATACTGCTAGCATGTTGAGTTGTGATAATGAGTTTATGATCTATAGTGAATTTACTGCAGACAGAACCAGGGAAATACGCATATTGTTAGTTTCATGAAGTTGTTAGGTTAGTGTGTTACCTTAACAATTTTAGAAGGCTGGAGATCTACGTGCTTAAAATTCTTGTTGTATGCAAAATACTGTTTAATAATACTGGTTTTGTTATTTTTGAACAACTGGAATTTTATTAGCAAGGACCTTAAAAGACAGTTATGTCTCCAGTTATATAGTTTGGATTTAACTTCAAATGAAATCAGGCTATCCAGGGAAATATTTTCTTCAATTCTTCACTTTCTAATTAATCTCTTACTAAGTATTTAGTTTTATTAGTTTTCTGGTAGCTACCTGTGGAGTAAATTGTTCTTCAAAGGGACTAATGTGGATGCAGATTTGTGCGTACTACAAACTGAGATAAATGCTTATCCTGTTAAGTGAGTGGCAGAGCTCCCATTAGTTCTTAGTCTTGGTATGTTTGCATTTGGAGTGTTACTTGTCTCCATCTATGTATTGAATGTAAAGTAGAAGTTGAACAGAGTTGATGGAATGTTTATCACATATAAAGGATGAAGGAGTAAGGTTATGAGAGGTCCTACCAATACATGATGGACTGAAGGGGAAATCAGAAATACAAAATAAATTTTTAAAATTCTTTTTATCTTTCCAACAATGTTACTTTCTCCCAGCAATTAATCTGATCTGAGCCATTATCACTTAGTAAAAAGAAGACAGATATTTCATTAACAATAGATTGCTTTAAGAATATCCTGTGTATGGGCATACTTTTTGACAGCCTTGAAATTTGAATAAATTCATGGAAATGAGAAGCAACCTCCTGTCTCCAAAACAAAACCCCTTGACTTTTTGCTGCTTACTTATATTCTTAGTTTTCTGAGGACTGATTGTTCTGTAATCGATCTTGTCAAATCAAAAAAATATTTTTCTTGTATTACCTGATGACTTCCCATCCCCTCACCCAAGCTGTTCTTTAGTAAGTTCTTATTGCGAAACAGTGTTAGAAATTCCCTCCTCCCTAATAGAGGCATTTCACTGTGCAGACTCAGTCACAACTGATCTTTCTTTTTTTCACAAAGCTGTTGTTAATGTGATCAAGTTGTTATTAATATCAGATAACTCTTAACACAATACAGTCATTGATTCGCTCATACAGTTCACGGATTTTCTCATAGTTACCTGAGAATAAACATCTGACTTGCAGTCTCTTGTTGATGCTAGCGTGTGTCAGTGGCCTGAAATGGATTGAGCAGACTTTTGGTCATCTATTTATCAATTGTAGCAGATCCAACAAGCTTGTTCATCTGTAGAGTTTATCAGACCCTGAAAACCCTTTGCTTAATCGTAGTCTGGAGAATTGTAAAAATCGGTGTTCTAATTTAGTGTTTTCAACCAATTTGGAAGCCAGAAATTAGTGAGTTCTTTTTACAACTAAATAAAAGTTGTTCAGAAAATAATGTATTAATCTAATGGTCTAAGTGTAAGGTAGTGGCTTTCAGTTTGTAGTCCATGTATTCTCCTGGGTCACATACCTAAATTATCAACATAAGTAGGCATGAGGAAAAGTAACCTTTAAAAATCTTTAACCACTGGATATTCTAATGGGATGTGCAATTCCTTTGGAAAATTCTTGCATGTCCCCCACATGGTAAAGATTGATTAGCTTTTGAGATAGCTTTACAATTCTCATGATTTAGCTATTCAACTTCTGCCTGCAGCTTTGCCAGATGCAACATTACTGTTGCTTCTTGCATCTGTGTGAAAAGCTCTTCTATCTGCATAGAATAAAATTTTTATACTTTCAAACTCTTCACTTGATTTTATAGATTATTTGATGCCATCACCTCTATGTTAAAACTAGTTGCAAAGTGAGTTTGTAGGACCTCAGCCTTAAAAAGTGACAAACAAAATCCATGCAAAAACTGGGTCTCTGGCAGAAATGCTGTGACTGCTAGCTCAGATGAATATTATGCACTTTTACTGATAAATCAGAAAAACTTTATTAGTTTGGCCAGAGAAGCCAGTTTCACATATCAGAGCATCTTTGGTCACAGTGACTTAATCTTTGTGAGTTATCAGTGGTTTTTGAGGACTTGCTCTAAACTTGAGAATATAAAAATATTAGAAATGAGCAGACATTAATTCTTGTGAAATGCAAGCTCAAAGGCATGTAGATTTGTTTCATAGTTGTTAGTCAAAATGCCACAATGTATCACAATGTTTTTATTTTGATATTTCAAACCAGACAACAGCGGTCATGTGATTGACCTGGTAAATGATCAGTTACCTGATGTAAAAATATCAGAGGAAGACAAAAAGAAGAACCTTGAATTACTAGAAGAAGCAAAGAAAGTGAGTGAGAGGTTTCTCATGCGCAGAGGCAGAAAGTCAAGAAGCAGCCTTCCTGAGTCACCCACAGGTAGGTGCAGGTTCTGAAAACAAGATTTCACATTCTACTTTAGAGATCCTCAAAGGCAGAAACAAGCATCTGTAATACATACACTGCTACTTGTGTACATACGCTTTGCTGATTTTAAGGTCAAAATCCCTCTGCCCCTCCTCACAATTCCATATAAAATAGAACTGGCCAATCTCTATATTCAGATGTAACAGTGGAAGACCGTGTAAAGTTTTTAAATGCCCAAATGACACACTGCAGACACTGTAATGGGAACACATGCAATATTTCTGTTGAAATGTGAAAAATGGTCACAAGTTTTTGTTTGTGAAGATTTTCATCCTAAAGTTCTTATTGCATATAAAATTATATTTAAATGGCAAGATTTATACTGCTGAAAAAAACTTTCCCAGACATAATTACACAGACTTTTGTTCTGAGCATATTTATAAACTAAACTAAATGGATCAGATCCTCCTTTCAAAACAGCAGAAGAAAATATTTTGTTCTAGAATGTCAATCAAAATTATTTTCCCCCTCATATGAAGTGCTTGAAAACTAGGAGGAAATGCCATTTTATCATGGAGTAGGACTTTAATTTAGCTTTGAAATACTATTTCAAAATAAAGTTCTGTCTTAAAATCACTTGGCACTTTCTGGAGGGGGAAAAAAAAAAAGAAAGAAATATACTTCAAACTAAATTTTGCTTTTTCTTTTTTCTTGTGAATCCTTCTCTTGTGTGTACTTCTCTGCAGAACTTCAGTCAGAAAAGTGAGGAGAATAAGGATTCTGTATACCAACAGAATCTCAATTAAAATGACTTGTCAGGTTCTGGACAAACACATGACTGACGACGATGCGATTCATGTTTTAATCTTAGCTGAATTTTGAAAATTCAAAACCTAGAAACTTGGAAAGTAAAATTACCTTGTTTTGTTTTTGTTTTTGTTTTAATGAAGCAGTTTCCCCTACACTTAGTCCTAAAGTTTCACCAGTAGCATCTCGGAGCAACTCTCTCACTCTTCCAGTTCCATCAGGTAAAATGATCTACGCAGGCTCAAACTTTAACTTAAAAGCTCAGAAAAAATGTATTTTTAAATATTCCTTGGGAAGTCAAAATCAGTAGATTCAAGGATCTCCTCCTGAATATGGCAAAGCTCATGAATGCCCACATATATATTTTTACATAAATGCTTAATTGTATTATATTTTTACTTCTGTGGTGCTGCTAGATTACATGTTCTGGTTTTTAATTCTTTTCAGTAATGGAGTTTTGAGAAGCTTTAATGTTCTTTCACTTACTATCTTTTAGATATTTTTCCCCCCTTTTGAATATTTTCCACATTTAAATTTTTTCTTAATATATGATGTGGATCTGTATATCTATGTGTTCAATAATGCTGTAGTAGTAAAAATTTGGGGCAAATTAGGATGTGCCCTAATTATGTGTTTGTCTCTATAGGGTCTGATGGATGCACAACCACTAGTGTCGAGTCAGTATGTCCAGGGCAGGTAAGAAAGAGCTGAATAGTCTGTACAGTAACCGGGTTATTACAGTACTACATTACACTATACTTGTCCCTGAGGAAAATGGGATGGTTTGAATACCATTTTATATAACAAGACTGTATTACTAATATGTTTTTTTTTTCTGCAGAGTGAGGGACTAGTAAATGTTTATTCTAAAGACAAAAATCCATGAGGTAATAAGCACAGAAGGATCATAGAGATCTTTTAACTGTAGAAAATGAAAAAAGATCCAATATAGCCCTAATCCATGGAAAAAAAAAAAAATCACTAAAATGACATCATAAATAAATAAATACTTCATAAATAAATGCGACAAGTGTAAAAGTTAAAAAATTCAAAGTTAATCTATTAATATCTATATCTAACATTTACAGCATAGATGTGAAAGATAACCTTGTAAGGCAAGTTTTTTCTTTCTTTTTTTGCTAGAATAACAGAACTGTGAAAGAGGATGACAGGCAAACGGTAGAGGTAAGTGTTTCACATTGTTTTGAACAAAATTCACCTGTTTGTCTTGACATATATGATTTATTTATGTGACTAAGAAGGCTAAAAGACTGTTTGCTGGGTGAAAAGAAAAATTATGCCGTTCGTTTGCACCTGAAAATGTAGCAGAGGACAGTGGACTTAAGTAAGCCTTTACATCCTATCATGCACTTTGCTTTAGCTCTATTAAAATCAATATACTAAGTAATTTTACAAGTAAGTTTAAAGTACCTATTGTAGCTACTTCGGTTTACGCTGGTGTTTTGGACAGGCATCCTCTTCTTTTGATTCAGTGGAAGAGGTTACTGTAGCTAATGCTCTGTACCTCTGATGGGATGTTACTGCTCTGCATAACTACTGGTGAAGCATTTTATATGCATGTTTTAAGTAATATCAAATGGCACTTTAAAAAGATGTTGCTGTGAGTGGGTTAGGTAATACAAAATATAGTGTGGCAGCAGAATTTTGGAGCAGTAACTATAAAGGATGGGAGAGTAGCAACATATCCAGGGCAGAGACCACAGTTAGGTTTTATGTTGGTTGCCTTAAATTGCTCACAGGTGCCCGTAGGCAAAATACAGATTCTGTACCAAAGTAGCCAAGGTATAGGCAAACATTCTTTTGCCAGCTGTCCTGTGGAGATTGCAGCCAAATTATAATCTGTGGTACTGCACACAAAGAGAGAAATTACAATAGTATAGAAGTCCATGCTTTTTTTCCCTTTGGGAGGTAAGGAAATAATGGAAAACAATCAAAGGAAAGTAACAGAGCTATAAGATATAGCCTTAAAGGCATGTGCTCAGACAACCTTACATTAAGATGATGAGAGACTTGTCTATATGAAGATTGATATATTGCTGTAATGGACTCTAGGGTAGGATGACATTCTCTCTAAAGCTCAGAAAAGGGATTCCCAATTCAGTGTTCTGTCAAGTGCATTTTAAAAATTATTTCTCTCATCAGCAGCATATGTTTAAAAGCAAATGTCACTGAAAAAGTAATGGCTTTTTACAGTGAAATTCTATCCTTGGGCAGAGAAAAGAGAAATCTGCACTTGTTGCTCTGTTTTCTGTGTGTCCCTCTGCTTTCAGAACGCTGCAAAAGGACTAGTTGATCGAAGGCAGAATGATCAAAGAAAGATTTCTCAGGGAAGGTTGGTTCCTCGTTCTGCTGGTTTTGAAAACTCCAAAGAGAAGCTCTCAGAACAAAAAGAAAACTTCGATCCACGTAAACACATGGATACTTTACCTAAATGCTCCCCTTCATGTGGTGATGGTGGCAGAATGTCTCTTAATGCTTACATGAATGTTTGTGAAAATGAACTTGGAAAATCGTTCCTCAAGAAATCAAAAGAAAATGATGTTCCTCTAAGAACCCATCTACCAACATCAGGAAATATAGACTCAAAGCTCAAAATTCCTGTTCAAGAAATGAGGGACCATAAAGTTTCATTTAAACCAGAATTTAAACTGTGTGGACCTCGTCCTCCTCTACTACGGGCTGTATCATGGGATAGCTTGGAGCCTGGACAGAAAGATAAAACACCTTTAAAATTACCATCTGAGGAAGATAAAAGCTTTGTTGTTGGTAACAAATCCAGCAATCAGTTAAAAGCATTCAAAGACCTTCAAATCCAAGTTCAACCAGTTCGAATGCAGAAATTGACAAAGCTCAGAGAGGTGAGTCCCAGTCATCAGTCATATCCTGTTTTAAACTTATTTTCCTATTTTACTAAACTTTTCATTTGCTTAGCATTATGTTTATCATTGCATGAAACATACAGTAATATAATGTGAAACAGTTTCAGGAGAATTAATACAGAATTGTATCATTTGCACCTTTAATAAATTGTAACCTGTAGCTAAATTCCATGGAATTGTTCCATTTCTTAGTTGTCTTTAAATATGCATCAACTGCACTGTTGTATTTTCAATATGCACGTATATGAATGTGCATATGCTCTTCCATATGCAGGTTTTGGCCCCCAGGAATTAAAAAAATATCGTATTGGTGTCAATAAAGTAGTAATTGCTTTCATTGTGACAGAAAGGTGAGCCTAAACCACAATACATCTCATATTTGCACCATCCACATGACCTATAAACAGGAAATAGTTGATTAACAATCATGACATTTGTAAAATGTACTTGGGACTAAAGTGATCTATTTTGATTTCGAAAGTATTTTAGATCGAAAGAATTTTTCCTTCCTTAGGATGTAACAACATTCTTTTTAAAAGTGTCGCTCATGCTCTTTTACTTCCTTTGCTTCTCTGTAATATGCTTTTTCTGCTTCTTCAGAATTGTCCTCAAATTCACAGGCTCCCACAGTATATTGAGTAATTGACAGATTTCTTTGCGTGTGGGGTGAGACCTGTGTATGAACAGAAATCTTTAACTGAAGTTTGTAGACAGTTACTATACTCTTGTTTATGTGCTTACGAAGTCTCTGCATATCATAAACTATTTGTAAACTTTCTTTGGATTTTAAAAATCCAAATTTTCAGCTGAGTGGTTTCAAGTCCTTTATTGGTTGGTATTCTCCCTTCTAAGGGCAGTAGTCCTGTATTTCAAGAATACTAGCTTTTGCAATAGCATTGCATGCAAGTCTCAGGGGACAGGAAATTGTTTTGGTATGATTTTTTGCTTGTTGAACATTCTCAGAAAGTGTCCCAGTGTCCAGGGTTGTAAAACCTTACATCATGCAAATGCATCAGCTTCTTGAAGGGTAGACTTGGACTGCAAAATCTATAAAGTAATCTATTGTTAAAAAAATGTCTAAATGATTGATTAAAATTAAGAATTAAACCCTAATAATTAATCAGTGTATTGAAAAGAAGCCAAAATGAAATGATAGCCCACCATCATAAAGTAACCACCATGCGTATAGCAAAAATTACTTTGAAAGGAAATAAAGAAAATAGTGCTTACTCTACTTTACAACCTAATAAGACTATTTTCTTTGACTTCCGGTAGTTAATACTTTAAGATGAACATAAGGCTAACAGGTGAGGACCTCAAATTCTGTACTTTGGTTAATTTGTTCCTAGTGTATTGCTTGGAAATGGTAGCTTAGTTATTCATGTTTTCCTGTTTATATTGCACACTTCTTAGCATATGTGTACTGGAATTCTTGATTATAGAGACACTTGAGCCATATGATTTTGGAAGTCCTAGGAGGTGTTAAGCACAAGTAATATTTAGAATCAGAAAAATAATACATGATACATGATTCTGGTTAGGTGAGATTTGACCTCTGTCTTTGGTAGGAATTGCCTACCTAGCAAAAGCAGGTGCATGTGTATTTTAGACATATTTGAGAATATTAAGGTAGAAAATCAGAAGATGAGTACAGTCTTCCTTACCTGTAAGGAAGGGAAGCAGGGTACAGTAACAGTGAAGTATTAGCTTTCAGCTGTAGCATTCTCTCTCTTTTCTGGAATACTTAATTATTGCTGTAGCTATATCCAAAACTGCTTTTTTTGCTGTTATTTACTAAAACTCTCATTTACCAAAACCTCTTTGAGTAAGAAGCACCTGCTGCACATCTCTGTCTGCATGACAGGAATTTTTCTAAGCGACGCATGTATGAAATTTGAAATATGTACTATTTAAGATGTTATGTTTGTGAATGTACATGTGTCCATGCAGTGTAGCATGTGACTATAACAATATAAATATCTCCATTCTGTTTATTAACTCAAATAAATGTTAGTGTCCACATGGCAGGGATCTTTAAATAGAGCTTTCTATTAAAGTTACTTAAAAATGTTACTGTTTTTCTTAACAGGAGCATATTTTGATGAGAAATCAAAATTTAGTTGGACTCAAACTCCCTGAACTTAGCGAAGCCGCTGAACAAGAGAAAGGTGCAGTATCATAAAAGCCGGAATGAGTGTCTGTTATACACTGATTTTTATAACTGACTAATATGGAAGGGAAAAAAAACCCCACTTTTCTTCAGTTGCAATAATTGTGTAATGAAGCAGCCATGAAGAAGGGGCCTAGCAGTAGAAATACCTAAATTTCTTGATGATCTGAGGCAAGAAGATACTGTAGGTATTATTACAACCAAATTAAAAGATGCATGCCTGGAACAGAGTCTAGGTTGTACTTACTAGATGAAAGACTGTCTCAAATTTCAGCCACATTCTGAAGAACGTTTCAGCAGTGATGGATTCAATGTATGTGACCTCTGCAAGATATTCTGGCTATAAGGGGGAATTTGATCCTTGAAAGTATTAATAAGAGATGGAATGCTTTATTCTGCTTTATTATTCTACTATATGTGTGGCAAATATTGAAATGGCATGTCCACTTGTGGTCCACAGCTCTACATCAATGTGGATAGGCAAGAGTAAGGCCAGAGAGGAGACATGAAAGTGATTGAAGGATTGCAAAAATATGCATTGCAATAAGTGCGGCTAGAGGGTTTTTTTAGCTTGATTAGTACAATTTTTAATAAAAGGCTAAAACCTCTACATAATTTTTTTTTTCAAATCTAACACAAGCAAATGAGACTTGATGCCTGTATGCTGCATCTAAAAATATTCAGAATAGAAATAAAGAGCAAGGATATAATCCTGAGGACAATTCAACAACTGGAAGAACCAAATAGCAGTAGCTCTGAGTGATCAGTTGAAAATATTTAAACCAAACCTGTATGTTTTCTTGGAAGTAGTTAAGTCAGAACTCATTCAGAGTGTTTCTAAGGACACATTAAGTGAAATGGAGAAAGTGAAAGGAGCTTTCCTAAGAAAATTTCCATTTTTCCTAATACTGTTCATTTTGCTAATTCATAGATATGATTTGGGACTGTTTCATAAGGCCTTAGAGTTTCTGTCACGCAAGATGGCAGAGAAATTACATTTCATGTTATCTCTGGAAACAGACTCATCATGAGTCTGAATGAAATAAAAGAGGCTTCTTGTCTTCTTCCTGTCTTTAGTAATCTTTGAATTCTTAAGTATGGTAGTATTATTCCTGTCACTATGCTAATTTATTGTTTCCCAGCAATTATTCAGCAGGCTGTGTTTAAATGTAAAACAGTTGCCACTTTACCAGCCTATTAAATGATTTTGGCAGATTTGAAACTTTTGGGGAAACTGTTATGAAAAGCTAAGCTTTATTTTATCCAGCTTTTCAACCAAGATCTCATGAGCCTTACAAGTTTTTTAAAACTCTAGTAACTTATCTAAATGATAGCCAGAACATTAAGAGTCAACTCCTTGTCCTTGGTAGGGAAATCAAGTGTGGGGTCAAATCCTTAGTTCATTTGTTAGGGAGACTTACTTACTTTGTCATAAAAAATACCTTGTAATTTTTAACTGGAGTAGTAATTTTGCTTAAACAATAGGAAATAGCCAGATACTTCATTATTATATTATGAATCAAATATACTGGCTCCATCATGTTTTGCTCTCAATGCCAAGTTATTGTGATCATCTGAGTAAACACAACTTTGCATCTACAGAAGTTTAGATAAGTGGGAAAGTGGGATATATTAAGACAGATATATGTGGAGACATTATGGCGTCAAGCTGGCTTTTTTTATAGGGACATTCATGACTATTCTTAGGTAAATACTGATTTTTTTATGCATGGAACTAAAATGCAGCTAGAAAGAATCTCCTTTTCTGGTTTTCATTTGAATACTTTCCACCTTTACAAAACTTGAACTTTGTCACACAATTTGTTTTGCAAATTTAAGAGTCTTTGTGTTATGCCAAACATCAAAACAGTTATACAAAGATATCTTCCCAAGTCTGAGATTCAGACTGAGAAACCTGACTTTCCTGTAGAAGAGTCCTTCACTAAGTTCTGGCAAGATAGAAGAATGTAAGGAGTTACTATAAATGAAATTAAATAAAATGAAAAAAAAATTAAGTCACATGAATTAAAAAAAAAAGTATTAGCTGTATCTTGGTCCTTCTGGAAGTGACAGAAGTAGAGAATGTAATTATAAACTTTATGTGATGTTTCAGTGAACATGTACTGCAAACAAATACATGTTGTAGACTCATCATCATAAACCATGCACAAAAATCTGTAGTATAGTACTAGGCTTCATCTTTGCAGGTAGCGTTTAAAGCCTTAGAAAATTACAGTACTCTATTAAAAAAATCTAATCTAAAATATTCCAGAAATTATGTCACTGTACTGGTAAAACACAAATGCAAAATGTTAGGTTAGATGTTCCAGTAATGGAATTTGGGTTCCATTTGAATTCTAGGAAAAATATTAATAAAATAATTATTTTTCAGTGCATTAGAAACTGTCAGGGTACTTATTACTTCAGTCTTTCTTCATAAAGAGTGACAATTGTACTGATAACTTTTGTTGCCAGTGCTTGAAAGTAAGACAGGGAGTAAAGGCGAGTGATGTATCACCATACACAATAAAGAAACTATCATTCTGCATGAAAGAATGAACCTTTTCTTGTCACTTTGCTCCCAGTACAGCTGGGGTGAAAGGCTCGTTGACTTTAAAATGACAGAGGCTAAAACGTCTTATTTGGCTCTGAGATGCTGCCTATTAATGACTTTTCAAATATCATAAAAAGGTTTTTGTCCGACAATGTCTTTAGGCCCTTCACCTCTTCCTTCCCCCACTGAAGAGGAAGAGACAAAGAATAGCTCTGATGTCATGCCCAGCATTCCTGATGTATTGCTGCGAAAACTACGAGTGCACAAATCACTTCCGGCAAGGTAAAAGCTCATTAGAAGTAGAAAGACATCATGTGGGGGAAGGCACACTAATGGTTTCCAGCGAACACCCTTTGTGGAGTTCCATTCATATGGGATCCACATAAGTAGCAACTGAAAATGTGCAACACAGATTTTTCAGAAAAATTTGGGGAATGCACGAAGTTTCAGTAACTGGCCAACTTTTAAAATTAATTTGTAAGGTCTGTATAAAAGGTCTGAAACCTAACTTGCATGCTACATTTTTGTACAGATTTCTTCCACTGGTCTGTCCACTCCTGTTTTTCAGGATTGCTGCTGCAGATACAAATTCATGTTGAAAATGTTACTTTTCTTTTCCCCAGAAAAATAATCAGGTTAGATAATGCTTTTCAATGGTAAAATTTGGGCAGGGAAGAATTCTGCATTTTTTTCTGCAAGTGACAGTTTTGGGGGGAATTTGAGTTTATTTTGCAAATTCCTTGATCTTTTGCTGTGCAAGACACTGACTATATTTTAATTTGTATTGCATTAGAATAAAGCTAAGCTTCTTCCATATTTTCGCATAAACCTTTTCTTTGAGAGAAGTAAAAGAAATAAGCTTTTTTTGTTTGTTTATTAATTATTATAACAATTCCAAACATATCTGGCCAAAACTATTCCTAAATTCACCCATATATTTTTATACTATAAACACCAGAGGCTTTTAATCATTTGAAGCAGTCAGTAAGTGTTCTCTGTGCAGTTGGAATAAATATTTAGCATTTGTTGTGAAGGAACTGTTGTATCAATGGATGTGTGAGGTGAAGAAGTTCTAACAGACCCTTGCTTCATTGTAATTAAATGCTGAAAAGAAAAACAATTTCATAGCTTAGTAAAAAATAGGTAAATGCTGCTGGCTTTGAGGATCAGATAATACACAGATCTTCTGTTTTTCAGGCAATATTCTTTAATCAGTTAGCTTAACCTTTTGAATAAATACACACATTACTTTTCATTCTTTAAGCAAATTTCTCAGACCATTCTCGGTAAAAATCAAGACATTAATTTTACCATTCTGTGCTATGTTATATGACGCATGCAGATGCTCAAACTTTCTTCTAGGACTATTACTCCTAGTAGGCTTCCTCCTAGAATAACAGTAAGTAATATGAATAATAATACTTTAGGCACAGAATGGTTTTCCAACACATGGAACATAATGGACTCCTTTCTTCTACTCACTTCTCTAAGTTTTGTCATCCTACACAATGAAAAAAATCTGCTGCTCAGTGGTGCCAGATGCATTGATTTCTATATTTGGGATTAATGATGCAATGAATATTACAGTAGTACTTTAATTTAAACTTAATTTAATGAACTGTCCATCATATTTGAAAAATCATGGCAGTCAGGTGAAGTTCCTGGCAATTAGAAAGAAGGAAATATAACCCCTATTTTCAAGAAGGGGAAATGAAAGACCCAGGAAACTACAGACCAGTCAGTCTCACCTCTGTGCCTGGCAGGATCATGGAGCAAACTCTCCTGGAAACCATGCTGAGGCACATGAAAAACAACAAGGTGCTTGGTGACAGCCAGCATGGCTTCACTAAGGGGAAATCATGCCTGACCAATTTGGTTGCCTTCTGTGATGGGGCTACAGAAGCGATGGATAGGGACAAGGCAGTTGATGTCATCTACCTGGACTTGTGCAAAGTATTTGATACTGTCCCACACGACATCCTTGTCTCTAAACTGGAGAGATATGAATTTGATGGATGGATCACGCGGTGGATAAAGAACTGGCTGCATTGCCTATGTGGCAATAGCACAAGGGGCAATGGGTTTAAACTTAAACAGAGGAAGTTCAGGTTAGATATAAGGAAGAAGTTCTTTACTGTGAGGGTGGTGAGGCACTGGAACAGGTTGCCCAAAGAAGTGGTAAATGCTCCATTCCTGGCAATGTTCAAGGCCAGGTTGGACAGAGCCTTGGGTGACACGATTTAGTAATAAGGTGTCCCTGCCCATGGCAGGGAGGTTGGAACTAGATGATCTTAAGGTCCTTTCCAACCCTAACTATTCTATGATTCTACTCTTACAATTTTATGAATTTTCTGACAGTATCATGCCTGTACAGATCATGATAGATACCTGCTGGCATCCACTAGAATTTGTATTTACAGCTCCTGTCATTTCTTTCAGGTGTTTCTTGTCTCTATTCACTTTTATAAAACTGAATAGCCTCTGATGTTTGGGAGCAGTTACAGAAACTAAAAACCTGTAAATTCGAACATTAAAGATAACTGCATTTAAGTGAAATCTTCCAATATAATGTTGTCTATCTCGTTTTTATTTTTTTATTTAATATCTATCTATACAGTATTCTATAAAACTGCATTTTGGTAACTTTCTCTGGTTTTTATATAGTCAGTAATCATTTTTGTGGTGGACAACTTGCAAAACTCAAACATAAAATTTGTCAATGTCAGAATAATTGTTAGCTAACTTCTAACAAAAGGAGCAGCCAAACCAGAATAGTTCAGTAAACAGTGAGCTGCACTTTGAATTCTGTACATATGTGGTTATCTGTTAATGGAAAGAAAATGGGTAAAGGTAATATTCCAAAGTGTAGCATATTAAGTCTCCCACAAGTCCAAAAGGGTAACTTTTGTCTTGCTCTTGTACTCCCAATTTATCACCATGCAGTACAGATATCAGTATTTGTGGTGGCCACAAACTTTGGTATGGTTTTGCCAATACTGAGGAGATTCTCTGCTGTGCTTAAAAAAACCAGAACAAAACAAACAGCACAATGTGGGGTTTAGCCATAACAAGTACAATTTAATTAATTAAATACTGATTTCACCTAAAGAAACCATAACATATTTACAGGGAGGACGGGGATTTTTTCTTCTGGTTTTGGTTAAATATAAGAATAGCTCTGGTTTTAAAGACAAAAGTAATTAAAATGTGATTTCTGCTTGCCTTTATTTCTAGCTCTCCTCCACTTACTGAAAAAGAAGTTGAGGTAAATATGTTCTTAAACTCATTATTTTAGCCATATGCCTCGATTTTGAGTGGTTACTGTAAGCCTAAAGGTTGTTACTAGAGCCAGGTAATGGAATTTTTATTTCCTAAAAATGTTTCTCAGAAAAAAAGCATATTGAGCACAATCAAAATAACAATTCTGTGAAATATGAGCAGTTGTCAGAGACAGTATAAACTGTAAAAAGGCTTACAGTAGGAATAAACAAAACACTTGTTTGTGCATTCTTCATAGTGAAATACAGTTCATTATGGAAATTATTGTAATATACATAAAGTAGTAAAATAGAGATTAAATGAGACCAGAAATTAAATGGGTTTAATTGCATTTTTGTACTGGCCACTAGAAGCTTTGGGGCAGTTTTTGATTACATCTTGCAATTAGTTTATATAATTTTAACTTTTTTTTGTGTGGGTTGCTCTTTAGCTTGCTGGCTTTTTTTTTTTTCTTTTTTTCACATGCCAGACAAGAAAAAGATCTTTATTTGCATAGCTGCAATCTAATGAAACTGTTGGTACCTTGTGCTTTGCAAAGTATTTATCCTAAGAAATAATACATCTGGTGAAGAAAGGAACAATATTTAACAGTTGAGGGCAGGAGAATAAAAACGTTAGCACTGAACCTTTTGCTGGCTTCAGTGGTAGGTATTTATGCCTTACGTGAAACAATGCTAATGGTGAGCTCATCCCTGGACTTCCTTTACACAGACTATCTGTTTAAAAACCTTGGGGACCCTTGGAGGAAGTCCAGCTAGAAAACAGGTCCATTGTGATTCTGATACTTCTGATAGGCTACTTCCTTTATTGTGTCTCTCTACTGATCTAGAAAAACATTCAGAAAAGAGGCAGCAAGGCCTGTTGAATGTTTATTCATATTTTAAAAGTAGTAAAGAGAAGTGATTTTTGAAAAAAAAAAAAAAAAGTTTTAGATTTTCTCTTTCAATACTTGTTTAAGCACCAAAGTTTTTTAAATACGTACCATATACGTTGTTACTGAAAAAGACATTACTGTGATGCTTATTTAAAAATGCTTTTCTTAAATCCAAACAGAATGTATTTGTACAACTTTCCTTGGCCTTTAGAAATGATAGTTATACCTTGGAATCTAGAATTAACCAAGCAGAGCGAGAGAGAAATCTTACTGAAGAGAATGCTGAGAAGGAACTGGAAAGCTTTAAAGCAGCTATTACGGTAAGAAAACAATTCTTCTGTCTATAGCGTACATGAGAGTATGCACACTTTTGAAATATGTGAGGCTAGGTTTCCTTATGCCTATTGTAAATTCAGCCCCAGAACTTCATTTTCTGCTGCCTGAGCTCTTTCCCATGATCTGCCTACCACTCTGCACAAGAGGGAGCATTTTCTGCCAGCAGGCCCACCATTGCTGGAAATTGCCCTATGTCTTGCAGATTTCAGGAATAAATACTATGAATTTGCTGTTCGCTACTTGGAATAAGCCCTTGACAAAGCTAAGGGTGTTCAGAACCGCAGTTTGAACACTGATCCCTGCTCTCCTGGGCAAGACCTTCTTTAGCACTAAATTTGAAGTGTCTAGTTAGGGGAGATAATGAAATTACCTGAAGCCTGAGTCCTGAGATTTGTGTCTTGAAAGACCTCTTAACTGCAGATAACAGAAGGCGATATAAGAAAGGAGACAGCAAGAATTTCTTAAGGAATACATGCGACCTCAGGATCAGGTTATGGGCGTTATTACACTTTAATTTCAGCTGTCCCTGATGTTCTTTTATCAGCAGTAGTTTTCAGTCCTTTTTGCCAGCTTTCTCTGGATTTTCTAATTCAAATGACAAATACGTTTTTGAGATGTGTCAATTTATGTGCTGCACACATTTTTGCGCAAATAAGAAGGGATGCTCAGGTACCATGATGCTAAATGAAATACCTGTAGACCCAATTTGAATATTACAAGGAGGTTGCTGCCATACTTTCAAGTATGATTCTCCCATTTTCTTTATCAAGAACATCATCAGGTAAGAAAAGATACAACTAAAAAAAAAGATTGTGATATTTACATCTTTTCATCTGGAAAACACTTACGTCTTTTCAAAAAATATTTGCATCTTTTCAAATCTGAATTTCAAGAATATTGTTCCTGGGGAAAAAAAAAAAAAAGTTTTTAATGTTTTGCTGCTCTTCACTCTGTTCTCTGTTTAGAGAGCAGGCAGAAGCAACATATTAAATCAGGGGGCTCAGACTGAAAGAAGTCTGTTAGATTTGATATCTTAAGAATCCGTAATTAGGCACCAAGGGTCACGTTGCCAGCATGCAACAGATGTGGTTAGCTTTTTCCTCCTTTGTGCAGTTCGCACGCTACAGTCTGGCTTTACAAGCTCTTCTACATAGTCTATAAGAAAGCAGAAACTGCCATTCATATGAAAGCTTTTGTTCTATATGATGGAATAAACAAACAATTAAATGAAGTGATGGCTTCTGTGTAATCTGTATAATATTAGACCTAGACTTGTTTCAATTTCAGTACTAGGTTATCTTAATTTCTGTAGAACAGGCACATTATATGGCTCAATGACAGTGTTACCAGTCTTCATGATTTTTTTTAATCAATCTTACGATAACTGATGTTTTATTAAAAACCCAACTTCAAGAGAAAGCTGATTTATATGCACTTCAGATATGTTCGCAAAAACTAGCATGTTACAGTTGCCAAGAAAAACCTGGAAATTGGAAATTTTGTGCATGTTTTTTTCAAACAGTTTCCTTTATGCATTCATGGGTCTTACAGTTGCCATTTGATTTACAGGCCATATTATTTTTTATTACTCTCTTACACTTGGAATTCTTGAGACTGTAATTTCTTTTATAAATAAGTGAAGTATCACAGGACTGCGAGAACATGAATGGCCGCTTTAACATCTTGGGCTCAGCAAATTAAAATGTTCTTTGTGTTTTGGCAATAATTTGTAATTAATAATTCAAATAACCTTGGCATTTGCAAAGTTCACAGGTAGCCAGGCATGATTCATCATTAATTTCAAAAGGAAAAGTATTGCAAATGTGTTTAGCCCTCTTTAACTCCTTGAAAGGTCTGTCTGCAGCATGCAGCGAAGCATCATTCTGACACACAGTACCAGCACTGTCTAGGTTATCTATGGTAATAGTGATGGAACTCCTCTGGGACTAATTTGTAGTCCATGTGTAGTTCTGCCTAGACATCTCAACCCTGCTTCTGTGGCTCAGGCTACTTTATCTGAACTAGAAGTGGCAAGATATGATGATAAAGCTTCTGTATTTTCACTTCAGTCTTCAGCTCACTTATGGCATCATTATGAGCACAGAGAAGCTTACCAGAAGCTGTTGGAGGATATTGCTGTTCTGCGGCGTTTAGCTGCTAGACTATCTAGTCGTGCTGAGATGGTTGGAGCTGTTCGCCAGGTAAGAACACCCTGGTGGCTAACACATATCCTGACTGCACATGTTCACTCTTTCTCTTTTTCAGTCATAGCTGGAGGTTTTATTAGCCCTTTGAATTTTATTTGCCATTTTCAGAGATTAAAGACATTTATTATAATGTCACAGAAGACACCATTTCAGTATGGAAATAGAATTCAAAAAGAAGGTTGCCTGTGAAGCTATTTAACATTTGTGCAATAGGAGCATACGTATTATTCAGATCTATGACTGCATCACAATAAACTTATTTAAAATCAGTGCAGCATAAATAAGAAAACTTTCTGGGTCAAAAAGCTCACCTGCCTTTGGCAATAACTTTGTCAGGCAACTATAGTAATAACAGAGCAAGTATAAATGAGAACGCAGCAATACCCTCCCAGATTCAAGACTGTTGCCTATTTCCTTGGAAAAAACCTAGACTGATGCCAGTGACTAAGACCTTTGAGAGTTTGAAAACAAACGTACCTATACAACATAACTAATAAGATAGGCACACAGGCAGAATGTAGAAAGGTATAACAAAATAAATTATAATATTCTGTGAATATATATGAATGCATGTACATTTGTGTTTAATTAGTTTCAGAATTTTCAGGCATGGGGTACCATATATTTCTTTAGGAAATACCAAATATTTCTTCAATAGCTATTCCAGATTTCGCCCTGATAGGGAGCATTCACAGAGGCAAATAATTTGTTTGAGAAGTATAGAGGTTCCTGAGTATTCCACTCTTTTCTTCTTTAGGAAAAGCGTATGTCAAAGGCAACAGAAGTAATGATGCAGTATGTGGAAAATTTGAAAAGAACATATGAAAAGGATCATGCTGAACTAATGGAGTTCAAGAAACTTGCCAATCAGAATTCTAGCAGAAGCTATGGGGCATCTGGTAAAAAAACCCAAACATTTAAGGGTTTGTCTCGCCTCTATATGGAAAGGTGTTGGTGCTATTAATGATAAAAAGTGAAGTATTGTGGAACCTGTTCATGAAGTTCTGATCTACAGGAGTAGATTGCAAAAAGCTATAGATGTAACTATTAAGATATTTCATAAAAAACAAACAATGCTATAGTACAGTAATTTAAAATCACTATCACTTCACAAATTCTGATGCAATCCAGTGACATTTTTGTTGGCCTCTCACACATACACATAGCTTGCATAGTTTCAACATAGCTGTCTAGATAAGGTATGATGGCAGAATTTCCTTATTAAGAAGTTTTTTTCTTTTTCTAACCTTTTCTTTCCTAGTTTGCTGGAAATTGAAATATGTGTATTTTCTTTTGCCAAAAGTTGTATATGGAGGCAAAAGATAGTAAAGATAGTAAGGGTTCATTTTTTTGCAATTATTTCAGATTTCTTCTGTAGGTGTAATTGAGACCAGAACTGTATGGCAGATAAATACGCAGTCACTACAGACCTTGTATATAAGTATACTACATCAGAGTTTGAAATACAAGGGCTCTATGTTTATTATTTATATAGATACTCATATAGTGTAAGACTACTCTTTATCTACTGTTTTTTTGCAGAAGACGGAGTACCTCGTTCAACTAGATCCATGTCTCTTACTGTTGGAAAGGTATTTCTATAATATTAAGAAAATGAATGTTTTATATAGTGAAATTTCTTTGTCTACATATGCTTACTTTCTTAGGCTGCGATCAAAACAATGCTGGTAAATATTCAATATTGTTCATGCAAATGTTTAGTAATTTTGGATACATGATTAGGTATGACTTTGTGCAATAATGATAATGCTTGCTGTGGAACTATAAATAATAAAGGGACATAGTTATTTAAGAATAATTGTATTCCACGCCACTTACCTATGCAGAGAATGGCTGAGGTCCTTGTTCCTCATTGAGGAAGCTGAACACAAAACTTACTAAGTGACTTGGGATTCCATGATCATGCCATTTTCATTATCTTAAGAATTATATCATGTTCAAGTGCCTTAAGATGTAAACAGTTATTTTTATGCGCTGCTCATTTTTTCATTTAGCATTGAAGTATCTTGTTCAGTTTGACAAAGCATCCAGAGTGAGCTATTATGTCAGATTGTTTTGGCTTGACCGATAACATGGCCAGCGTTCCATTTCTGTAGAACTTCCAAGTGTTGGACATCAAGTTTATTACAAAACTTCCTAAAACAACCAGTGTTTTGAGGGAACTAAGTCCCAGTGTGACCATTATGGAGTTTGGTGGTCAGAGGCATTATATGCAGTCTACTATTTATTTTCATATTTTTGTTTGCTTGGGTTATAGCTCTTTGGTTTTAATTTATTTCTGCCACCTCTGAATGCTGGATAGAGAGAATTAGAGCATAGAGCATGCTGAGGGCAAGACTGGCTTTAAGAATGAGAACCAGATCAGCTGAAAGAGAGGTGCCCCAAAAAATTAAATCTAATAAGAACAAGTCCAAATCATAAAGGGGAGGGGACCCCAAAACACTAAGATGGACTGCCTAACATGGCTGCAGACTCCCCAGTATAGTTTTCAGGAGCACATTAGATAAACCTCTGTCATTAATGAATAGGCATATTGGTTTTGTCTAGAACTGGGATCATGGAGTAGGTAACTCCTTCCATATATTTACTTGATCTATGTTTCAGTCCTTTCCTCTAAAGCTATCTAGAGCAGAATCATGAAGCATTTAGATATGCAGTAACACAAAGCTGTCAGATGCTGTAAGTGCTTGGATTTTTTTACTCAGTTGGAAGTGTAGATTTTACTATGTGTACATCATTGGATGAAACAATTGCCTATTTACCTAATGACATCAAAAACTTATATGATCTGTACTTCAGCTAGAATATATTGTGTACAGCTAGCATGTGTTTATTATATAAAGAATTTCCATGGTCTTCAGGAAATGTAAGCAATGTTGCATGATGCTAGATAGACAGCTAACAACTCAAGGGTTGGGGAGAAGGCTCTGTTCTTTTGCAGAGGGAACAGATGTTATAAGTTGTAGGTTTAGAAATAATTGTGGGTACAGCATATCATAGCAGATACAGCATATCATAATGGGTACATAACAAGAGTTTCATGTGAAACCATTATCCGGTCACTGAGACACTGGGACTTTCCCCTGTATTATTATACTTCTGATTTAACCATGATAATAGCCTCTAATAAGAACTGACAGTATCAACTCAGAACATATCTGTTGTGTGACTTCGACTGGGCCTTCAGTGTGGAAGGAAAACAGTAGCATCCCTGTACAACACCTCATTTCACACTAAGCACTTGACATACCAGTTAGTACTAGAGGAGGTTTTGAGGAAAACTACAGCCGTAACAGACATTCATCTTAGTTTTGCTTCTAACTCCTTTCCTTGAGGCACATTAACCTACCTGTTTGCCACCCCTATTAACCTGTGAAATTGTTCTTCAGTCTATCTTGTTGTATGATTTAAAAAAAATAAAAATTGTTTCTCACAGAATATGCCTCGGAGGAGAGTCAGTGTTGCTGTTGTTCCTAAATTTAACTCCTTAAACATTCCTGGTCAGTCACCGACAGCTTTACCTATACCTTCAGTGCCATCCCAGGTAAGTAAACCCCACATCTTAAAGATACTGCTTTTTGTTTAAATCACTTTTGCTTAGGACAAAGCTATGGGTGCTAATAAGAAAATAAAATCTAAGCCCTTTTGTTGGTTTAACTCTTTTGACTCCATCCTAGTGAAGGAGATGGACAAAGGTAATTCCTATTATGTAGGGAACATACGCCTTCAGAAACTACCTCCATAAATAATCACTTTGGACACAGAGCCAAAAAAGGCTTGCTGGTGATTCAGAAGCATTAGACATTAGTTGAGGCAATTTGCCTTTTAATCTGTAGTAACATACTGGGAAGGAGTAGTAAATATAGTTGTCCACTGTGTGAGAGAAGTTTTAACTTGAAACCATAGAAGATGGTTGGACTGCTTCTCTTCATTGCTGAAAAGTCCACTAAACATAAAAACATATAATTAATGTACAGAAATATATGTGGTACAAATTTAGATGTTCTGTGATGGAACTATAGTGGAGCTATCGGACTGTCTTGATTTTTTGTTTATAAAATTTTAATAAATTAAATTAAAATCTATATAAATACTTTGATGGAAAAATCCAAGGCATACCAATTGTTCAGAGATGAGCTATGATAGCTTGTCATAAAAAAAAATACATGGTTTTCTGTTTAAAATGTAGGGCTATTTAAATGAGGGGTTCTGCTGGGAAGCTAAATCCATTGTGATTTTCAGTTTTAAGGAACTTAAATTGTTTGTGCAATTTAGGTATTATGTACTCAGAGTCAATTGTTTCAGAAATTAAGTGTGTTTGTTTACCATGATTTATTATGATTTAGTTTTGTTTAAAATTTTCCACTGAAAACTCAGCTAACAAATTAATGCTCCTAGGATAATATGGAGAGAAGCAAATAGAGTAATTTTGCTGTTATCAAATATATGATGAAAGACTTTTCTTGGGAAATATAAACAAGATGGAAAGGAATGTCACAGAAAATTCTTTACAGTGTGCAAGTCCGCTCTTTCATTAGTGGGAATAATTGAGAAGCTCTATATTAAGAGCTGTTGCACTTGGGTGTGGGAAGAAAACCTAAGCAGCACATTGACTTTGTCATTTTATTGAAGACTATTTGAAATTAATGTAGCATTTATTGCTGTTTTTCACTGACAGTCTGAATCACCTAGTAATGGAAGAAGCAATCTAACATCTACTCCTGTTCTGCCAGCACTTTTAGAAAAGTGAGTTTTGTCTAAGTTATCTCATTACCTGCTAAATCCTAGTATGAAATGAAAATTATATAATTTCTATCTCTCTTAATAGAAGTTACACCAAGATATTGAAATCAGCAACACAATATTGGTTAGGTTGATTCATGGTCTGGTAAATGTGTTTTACTGTGTTGCCATCATATGGTTCTTTTCATGTTCAATGAGTTTACAAGCAGTATCTCAGAACTGTATCGAGCTTGCTACGATCACTAAAACTTATCAAGTGAAAAATGCAGCAGAAAATCATGCATTTACACTTTTGAGTAGGCTGCCTTCAGAACTTGACAAAATATGACATAAAATGCACATGGCTGTGTTGTGGGGTTTGTTTTGTTTTTTTTTTTAATATATTTCCTGGAACAAATTAATGCTGTACCTACAGTTGGCCATGACCACTCCTGGATATGAATACACATTAACTTGACTATCCCAGTAATAGAAGTTTGTATTTTGCCCATGCCTTTTCAACATTTTCTAGCTGGTAAGAATCATATTTTGAAATACTCTGCTATCCAGTGTCATGTAGCCTTTTTAATTTGCATGGATAAACATGATATACAAAATTCAACAGTATAACTTACCATAATATTAGATAATCAAATTATTGCAGAAGTGAAAAAAATTATCAAGTAGGAATTCTTTTCTTAGTATAAAATGAACATTCAGCTAAATTAAAGCATTAGGTTTGAGATTTTAGTTTTAACATCCTGAGACTTTAGTTATAACAGGCAGAGATGTTTGCTTTTTAAAATTAAAAAATAGAGATACAAATGAGGGCATTTTTTTTTTTAGCCTGGTAACAATACCTCAATAAGTATTTTTCTAGTACCTATAAATTGAAAAAATATTTTTGTTAAAACAGTTGCCCTTTTGACTCTGTATCATTTACCACTACTACAGATGTCCACACTACATTAAGGTGTGCTGTAGTTATCCATTTTTCATAATAGTTCCATGAGTCATTCTATGGGCTTAAATAGTACTACTTCAAGAGCAAAATAATAGTTGTATGAACAAGGAAAGCAGATAATTGCTCTGCCAGAAAGAACACACATATACACATTTCTGGAAAGAACTTTTTTAACTTCTTCCAGCTGAAATTCATGTAGGTCTATAATTTAGTTTTATGCAAGTCATTGAAACATAAAGCCCTGAAGTAGTAGAATACAAGGGTGGGCAATAGGAAAACGTGAGGCTGGGATGGGAACAGGAAGGCACACCTAAGCTGTTCTACAAGGTCTCTGTAAACAGTTACTGTTATGGATACAGGTACTGTTGCATTTAAAAACCCATGTATGTTTAATCCTCCCAGAAAGCAACAAAAACAAAGTCAGGCAAGTTCCCAAATATATATCTCTTCCAGGAAATATTGCACATTCTAAGGAAGTTGCTTGCTGACATTTCAGAAGTAAAACTTACTAAAACATCAAACCGATTTTTGTTGTTGTTGTTACTACTTCTACTGCTACTTTGGTTGTTTAGACTGTTTACAATATCACAATAAAATATCTGTAATACTAATTTAAATTAAAGTTTGTTAGAATGATTTAAACATGCAAATTAAAAACTTTAAAATACGGAGATCTCACATCAGTACAGAATATTGAATTTCACATATTTTAGATTAGTGCTGAGGGAGGACAAAATTTATCATATGACTTTATTTTATCTCTGCGCTTTACTAAGAATGAAAATACACAACAATTGACAAAACAAAACCAGTGAACTATGGCACTAGTTTTTACAAATCAACAGAACTCTGCAACATTTAGACCATCTTTTGAAACTATATAGAAATTCTGAAACACAAAACAAACCAACCAAAAAAACAACAAAAAAACCCACCACACCAAAACCAGTATTCCCCCAAAAAACTTCCTAGTATCTGGTAGTTATCTTCCTGGATCTTAAAAAAACAAATCATGCTATCAAGCAGTAGAACTTTAAATTCAAGTTTGGCATAAGTATGTATGCGTGAGCCAGCTGCTGTAGTAGTGTAAAATTACATAGTCATCAGAGTTTTGTATACTTAAGCAGTTCAAGCTTATACTCAGGATTTGTTTAAAGTCCAAGTGAAAATAACGTGAATATGACTTCTTGAGAGAAAATCAATTGCCCACAGATAGTGTCAGTCAGGATATATTATTCTGCCATTGATTTTAGTGCCAGAAAAATAAGGCCTACAAAAAGGGTTAGATTCTGGAAGTTGAAAACGAATCCACTGTTGAGCTTATTAAACATTGACTTGATTTGCTAAGTCATGTCTGAATCACTTAAACTCTGTCCCAGCCTTAAATAAATGAGGACAAGTGAGCACTGCAGAGAGAAAGCAATATACGATCGCTTATCTTTAGGCTAAATTCTCATGGTTTTCACTTAGGAAAAATTTCAGTGACAAAAGCTACGCATGTGTTTGTATTTTTTTAACCTGTATATTAGTTCAGGGTGTAAAGTCAGCAGAGGGGAGTACCTAAAAGGTACATAAGAAAAATGATTTGTTAAATTAGAATTTGGTACTATTGCTGTTCTTTTCCTCTGAAAATTATGGCCTGCAATTTCTAAGATGATTTTTATAAAGTTGAGGGAAATGTTTTCAAGAATAGCAAATAAATGCCATGGATAAGCCAGGACACAAATGCTCGTCTTTTTTTAAAGAAGAAACACAATGCAAGTTCTAATACCTTAGAAACATATTAATTACTGTTCTTAAATTACAATATTTTGAAACTAAAATATTGCTTAGTGTTCAATTTTTCTCTTTTGAAAGACATTTCATTTCTCAGAAGTACATTAAAGAAGAAAAATCACAAGATTCTGTGTGTTTGCTCTTGTTTGGTAGTATACTACAAATAAAATTTATTTCAGTGGTGGTGTTTTCTATGTGATTGTTTCTTTTGTCTTGGCAGTGGAAAGAGTAATGGAGAGCCTGACTGTGAAACTGCTACTTCTGTGCTGCCACACGGTGGGTTGGAAGAGGTCAATCCTGAAACTAAAGCCAAGATAGAAGAGGAAGCATATAACAAAGGGTGTGAATACTTTATGTGTACTAAATCTGTAAACACGTGCTATGAGATGAGGGCATATATTTTTATAATGTAATTTTAAATGCAAAATGGTGGCAATCAATATGAGCTCCTATACAGTCATAATTGAAGGAATGTGGGAAACAATGTAAGTGAACTTTATTCACTGGATTTGCATAGTAGCAGTTCACTTTCATCCATTATTAATGTTAGCCAGACTGTGGGAGGGCAGTTATATCAGAGATTCTCAATTGGGTAGGTGTTCTTATGTTAGTAGTGTTCAGCTTCATGATAGGATAATCCAAAACAACTTTCTAAAATGTTTATTCTGAAAAGTTTACATGGAAATCAGTCAAGAGTAAGTATCAACTCTTAGAGTAAACTTGTGTTGTTTGAGTCACAGAGTGCTTTACACAGCATGTTTTGGGGCACAAAAGGCTGTTTTACCCAGCTTTGGCATCTGTTTCTGAATATCAAGCAAATACCTTTTTAATACATGAGGAGTAAGACAAAAATTTTTATCATCTCCTGCAGAATCCAACAAGCCATCAATCTTTAGCATTGCTTTGCATTTATTCTGCAGGAAACAAAAATATGTAGAGGGTGTTCAAAATGATTGTAAAATACTACAGAAATACTTGCCAATGCCTTTACAAAACAGAGAAGTTGAGCTCTCCTGAGGACTATAATCTGTTTCTTTTTCAAGATGACAAGTTTGGTAACAGAGCTAATGTAATTCCCTGTTAAGGAAGGGTGGCTGTCTGTGTGACATACTTACATTCTTCAGCTAATTTTTTACTCTTGCCCAAGTGCTGCAACACTGCTAGTTGTGTTTTAGGGCAAGTGACAAAACATGAAGATAATTTTTCATTACATAAGAACAGGCTTAGACAGCATGCTAGACTAAGAAAAATGTTCCATGTGTTAAAGTTATCGGGAGGGCTTGAAGAAAACCAAAGAACTTCAGGAACTGAAGGAAGAAGATGAAGAGACACTAAAAGAAAGTCCTGATGAACATGAAGAAAGTGAAAATGAACATGAGATAAAAACCCTGAAAAGCAGGTGAGACAGTGGTGTCATATGTCCGTACAAGACAGGCTACTTTTTTTTCAATTTGTGGCACCCAATGAAGTGTTTTGTACTATTATCTTGACATGCTTTCTTCCAGTGTAGGGAACTATACTTGAAATAACAGTGTTTTCACAGTAACGCATATTCTGAGATAAATAACAGTTGCAAAATGCAAAACTTTTTCTATTTCAGCTAAAATTGTGTTAACACCAATATGCTTTATCTTGATGGGGTTGGGTTTTGATTTGAGGTAAAAAATATTCCACAAGATTTCTTTAGATGTCAGAATGTATCTCTCAGTAGGCATGTGTAGTCTCACAAAAGTTGTAATTCAGGAATCTGATGCCTGTATTTGTGCCGTATGTCATTCCTAAAGGGTCTTCACAGGTGAGTCTTTCAATATATCTACAAGGTGAGTACAGGTTAAGAGAAGCTCCTCAACTACATTGGACTGGCTCTGGCTTGAACAGGCAGGTGCTTGCTCCCTCTGCAAGCTGTGTAGAGACAGCAGAACAGTATTATGCTGGAGTTTCCTGCCTTGCGGCAATGATATTTATTGTATTCATCTGCCCAGTGTTCTCTGTCTGAATCATCTGCTTGTTGTCTTACCTGAAGCAATTGATGCCTAACTAGAAAACTTAGAGTTAATTATTGAGTCTCCTCATTGGTTCTACCACCCATTTCAGGACACCTGCAATGTCCTTCTATTAAAAGCAGTGAGAGAGGCATTAGATAGGCATTGAATGCTAGCCAAAGCAAGTAATATGTCAAATCCCAGGCTAAGGTGGGCATCCTTACCTGATCACCTGATCCAGAAGAATTAATTTCCATTCCATAACCATTACAGTTATAAACATCTGTAATTTGAGATTTCTGCCATATTCAGGAAGGCGGCCATCTCAGTAGTCATGAAACTCTTAGGAAGAAATGTTTACAATGTGTTCTAATGTTGAGTTTAGTTGAGCAAGGTATGAACAGTGCAGAATTTTACATCATATCAAGATCTGAGATTTGCCAGTTGACAGGTCAGAGAAATAGAAATCAAGTTTTTGGTCTTCAGCTGTCTTGCAAATATCACCCATATCTGAGTGTACAGCTCTTCTTAAAAGAACTTAATAGTCTGATTCTTCTTTGACAAGGTGTTTGTATTTGGAAGAAAAGTGGTGCACCATACTTCTATCCATATATCTATGAAACTTTTCGAACTGAAAAGCTTAAGATAATAAATTTGCTTATGATTAATATATAACAGTTTTCTTTTCATTTTACAGCAGACTTGAAGTCATCATTAATTATTTACATATACTGTACCCCAAACTGTGTAAACACTGGAATGTGGTATGGCTGGTAGTGGCTGCAATAATAATTTTTGCTGTGGTGTTGGGAATCTACCATTCATTCAACTCCTGTGATGAAAAATCAGAGGGACCTGAAGGGAAGGCTAGCTGTTCTGCTGCCCATCAACATTCCTGGTGGAACTCAGGATTTCAACATGAGCAACACACTGAATAATAAAGGAACAAGCATGTACTTATGGTACCTGAGCAAGTATGCATATTGGAAAACTGTTGTTAGAGGTAGTGCTTAGTCATCCTTATAGCTGTTGAATGTGGTCTGTTAGACAAGAGAGTTACTCCACACCATCAGGTTTGGGGATACACTGTGAATATACCTTATCAAAAGTACAATCTGATAAATAATCCTATCTGTCTTTTTAGTGTATATGACTGATACAAATAAAGTAATACTGAATCATGGTAAGGTTGTGGCAGTAATCAGCCATCAGCAAGACATTTAAAAGAAATGGTTTGCACAGGACAGTAATATCTCTTCTATGACTTTGAAGAAAATCATAAACCTGCATTTGCAGTTAGTGCTTTGTGTTCCCTGAATTTATTAGTGATTGTTGGAGTACTAATGGCATTTAAGTCCTTTGGGTTTCAAGAGACTAATCTGCTTCCTTTTTCATGATTATTGGGTAGGTAGAAATAGAAGCTCTTCTATGGAAGGTTATGGTTGTATTATCAGACTAAATGCCTTGCTGATAAAGTTATTTTATAAGAGCAATTATCTGTATAATTATTTAAATAGAAAACTAAGTACATGCATAAATGTGTTTTATGGTATACTTTAAGAATTGGACCACCACTTTTTTTTTTTTAAATGGGATACAAAAACTGTGTCTAGGTGGCACAGACGATACCGTCAAATAAATGTATCAAAGCTCTGAGACCAAAATGCATGTCACTAAAGGTATACCATATGTACCTACTGAACTTCAGTCACTTCTGATTGAAGATGAACTATGTCTTTCCATAACTATATGCTTGAATGTAACCACAATATCAAAATCAGTTTGATACCTGACTGCACTTGTGTCTTGCATTCTTCTGGCAATTTGTGACTGATTAACAAGTCTGTTTACAGCTGAAGGATAAGTATGTTATGAAGTACTGTTATTTCAGTTCCGATGCAGTTATTATTGTCTTGTTTGTTGGTGTAAACACTGAACCTCAAATTATCAAAGAAAACAGGTTTTTAACTCTGAAATTTAATTCATATATCTGGCACTAGTAACAAATATCCTGCTGGTGAATTTTATTTGTTACATCTTTTGCCGTTAAAAAAAATAATAACAAGTTTAATAAAAAAAAAACAACACTTTTTTTTTTTGGGTGGAGGTTGGGGTCTATAAGCAGTTGGGAGGTTTGGTATTTCATTTTAAAGTACATGTTGTTGAGGAGTGTGCTTAAGAAAGTTCAAAAAGGTTAATGGGAAAGTGTCATTCAGTCTAAAACTATAATTGTTAAGGAATAAGACAGAAGACGATTTCTTGTAAATTATTTGGTATCTGTTTGGTTCAGTTAAAATATCTGACTATGAAGAACTACTGCGACATTTCACATACTTTCAGTATTTTAAATACTTTCAGTATTTAAAGAAACTTGGCAGTTGCTCTTTAAATACTTCTTTATTAAAATCAGCTTCTTTAACTTAATATTCTTTACGAATAGCATTGATAATAAGGCAATAAAAATTGAAGGTAAATAGTCCTGATGATTCAGAATCCCCTGTGCCAAAAATTATGATGCAAATTTGACTATGTGATTGAGGAAATGTTGGACTGCAATGAGTAAAAATAATTAACAGTGCCTATAATGGACCCACTGATATGGGTCCAACACATTACTGTAAAGAAATGTAGAAAGTTATTGATATCAACAGGACACTTGAACTGCTTCATGTTAAGCATGTGCTAAGGTTTTTTTGGTCAGTGGGTGAATAAGGTCTCCATCCTATCTTGAAATTCATCACACTTTTTGTGAACTTAATGCACAAAGGCAGATTTCTATAAGTAGTTGTACTGATTTGAACTGAACTACTTGCATGTCTAAGGCAAGTATAATTTATTCACAAAGTTATTAGTTGTTGTGAGGAATGTACTGAAAGAGTGAAGAGATTTTAATAGGGATGAAAAGATGAAGATGAAGTTTTTTTATTAAAAAAAAAAAAGGTTGTTCTTTTTATAACTACTTTGAGCAAACTGTCCACTAAAAATAATGAACCACAATGACTAATAGCACATTAAATACTTTTGCTTATTTTTTTCAGTTAGTTAATGAAGACACTTTTTTAATAAGAAACTAGATTGAGCTCAAAAACTATTCTAAATATAATTTTATCTGTTGGATATTAGTTTGCTTTATCTGGAAAAAAAAATAACCAAAGCAATCTCTTCTGTGTTGAAAGATCACATCAGATAACAAGAAATAGATCTATTATTTATGCTATTAACACTGAAATAGTTTTCTTGAGGTGCAATATTTATTTTTCTGCTTTATCAAGACACGTTTATTGTTTTTCCTGCACAGCACAGGTGTTTTTAGTAAAAGGAATTTTAAAAGAGCACTATTTTTGTGTATCATATTTAAATTTGTACCATTGTAAGATTTTGCACAAGTGTGCTGGTATTGTACTGTATAGTATCATACTTGAGTTTTGAAATAAAAGTATGGTTTCAAAGTCCTTAATGTTGCTACTTTAAAGGTTTTTTTACATGCACTCTGTCTGCATATTAATGGCTGTCTTCTTATAAAATACATACTGCCTTGTCTATACTGCATAGTGTAGTGCCATGTTACACACACCAAAGATCTTGTTCTTAGTCATTCAGTTCTTCAGGAAAATTATGTAGACAAAGCAAGCAAACTCCTGTTTCAATAGAGAAAGTGTTTGTAAGCAGGGTCATTCCTGTCATACCCTAGAAAGATGAAAGAGGAAACTGAAATATCCTGGAGAGAGTTTAACTCCTGCTTCTGAGGGATGCTGTCTTTCACTGAGGAGATTGAACATGGGAAGCCACAAGGGAAATCTGTAACCCAAGAGACTGAATGAAAGGTTAGGATTCTTTGCTTTATCTTCTTGTAGGCTTGAGAGGTCTGGGAAGCCTGGGCTTTGTGGGGAGCTGAACGGCCATACCTGAGGGAAGGAGGCAATGCTATTTATTCCCAGAAAGAATAGAAATGTCACTTCAGAATCTTTTCTGTTTAGCAGCCCTCATCAGCATTTTAAAACATGCTGACACGAGATGTTGGGAATTTTCCTTACAGGTTACTCTAAGTATTGAGGTCAATTACAGACTTGTACTGAATGTTTAATTATCTTTTTTCACCATTCAAGTTATGATGAAGACCTACAAACAGGTTAAAGACCTTTTGTACTGCTACAGTCTAGATAGCTGATTCTTCCACAGAGTTTTGGAACAGCTGAAATATAAAAATGGAGAAACTGGCACAAAAAAAAAAGAAAAGTTTGTTTTAGTATCACTTCATCATCCTGAAATTCTTTTCTCCCTCTCCTAATCTGTAGTTTGCTCTTACAAATCCACAGGAAGGAGCTTCTATTTTTGTTTGGTATTATGAAGGTGTTTATCTCATTTTTGCAGCTAAAAAGCCTACTAAACACCAATAGCATGGACAGAATTTGACTAGAGGAACTTTGCAACAGTAAGGATAATAGGCAAAAAAGTGTTAAAACATGGTAGGACCCAGCTTTTGATTTCATGGTAGAAATACTTAGCAGTTCAAGGTAAGCATGGAAATGGTAAGATTGTTTAATGTTCTCAATGTTTTACAGACACCACCTAGTAGTTTATGAGAGCCACAGAATAACTATTAGTTTCTGTTCCTATATTGTAAATGCAAGTGAATCCACTTAGAACTTGCTTCAATGAGTTCAAGTCTGATTACAGTATTTCAGATTGCCATCACTTTGTAGAGGCAGGTAAGTACAACACAATGAAGGAGTGACTAGAAATTGGAGCAAGAAATTTGTCTTAAGACCTCAAGGAGCTTTATCACCAATCAGTTCCAAACTGCAGCCCAAACACAATCCAATTTTCATTTATTATTGCTCAAGGAGACATCATTTCATTAATCTACAGCATTCTCCACTGGTCCCTGTAGATGCCTGTCTAGGTTATTAGTATACCCATAACCATATTATATGCTGCTCTAAGAGATTGGGTATGTGCCCATATAAAAACTGTCTTGATATATGAAGCAGAAACTTTCCACAGTGCAAACCACAGTTTAAAGAGGTAGCTACTGTTACACTTGTGTTCACAGGACCTTGAAAACTGTCTGGGGATATAGGACCTCTAGACTGTATCACAATGTAAGCATGATGTAACAAAATCATCCTGTTGCAAAAAAAAGGCTCATACCATTCTGAACTGTGTAAGCAAGTAAACTAATTTATTAATCAGTACTTGGCATTGGCAAGGCCTCAGCTAGAGAGAAGGAGTGAGCAAGCTGTGGTTTCTTAGCTGAAAGAAAAGGGGGAGTGGAGGCATAACTATTTATGCCTCTTCACTCACTTTACCTTTTAATAGTAGAGTGAAGCACTGGAATAGAGCGTTTGAGGACACATTAGGAATTTGACACTGGAAGTCTTTAAAAACAGGTTAAACAAACATCTGTCAGGAATAACATAAATACAGCTGATCCTACTGACAGTAAAGAGAGCTAACTGATCTCTTGAGCTACATTCCCACTCTTTGTTGGAATCTCTGCAAAAAAAAAAAACAAACACCTCTGAGTTTCTTTGCTAAGACTTCCTGAAGGTTTTCCATCACAGCTATAAGGATCATCTGTATTTTGCATGAGGCTATTGGAATCCCTATTTGTTTCAACTTCACAAAAGGCAGCAGGAACCCCATTTATGGTAGTGTATCTCCAAATCAGTTAAATACTAGATATCATATTATCTCTGTGTTAACGGTACCTATTTTTGCATTGGAAGTCTAATGTAAAGGAATGCATCAAGACGTGTAGGATATGGGGAACGGTTGCCGTTTCAATTCCAAAAGAAAACTCGTGCCTGGCATGCTGTGATACAATAGGGAATTTGTTTTATTTACCAGATGAATAGACAACATGAGTAATGAGCTGTTAGTAAAACAGGAAAAAATAGCAAAAAAAAAAAGTTCTTTCGAAGTGTTTACTGACTTAGCAGTCTAACAGTCTTATCTCCCTT